GAGGGTGGAGGGACAGGGAAGTGTGACAGAGGTGTAGTGTGAGGGTGGAGGGACAAGAAAGTGTGAAACAGGTGTAGTGTGAGGGTAGAGGGGACAGGGAAGTGTGACAGAGGTGTAGTGTGAGGGTGGAGGGGTAGGGAAGTGTGACAGAGGTGTAGTGTGAGGGTAGAGGGACAGGGAAGTGTGACACAGGTGTAGTGTGAGGGTGGAGGGGACGGGGAAGTGTGACACAGGTGTAGTGTGAGGGTAGAGGGACAGGGAAGTGTGACACAGGTGTAGTGTGAGGGTAGAGGGACAGGGAAGTGTGACACAGGTGTAGTGTGAGGGGTGGAGGGGACGGGGAAGTGTGACAGAGGTGTAGTGTGAGGGTAGAGGGACAGGGAAGTGTGACACAGGTATAGTGTGAGGGTGGAGGGGACGGGGAAGTGTGACACAGGTGTAGTGTGAGGGTAGAGGGACGGGGAAGTGTGACACAGGTGTAGTGTGAGGGTAGAGGGACAGGGAAGTGTGACACAGGTGTAGTGTGAGGGTAGAGGAACAGGGAAGTGTGACACAGGTGTAGTGTGAGGGGTGGAGGGGACGGGGAAGTGTGACAGAGGTGAAGTGTGAGGGTAGAGGGACAGGGAAGTGTGACACAGGTATAGTGTGAGGGTGGAGGGGACGGGGAAGTGTGACACAGGTGTAGTGTGAGGGTAGAGGGACGGGGAAGTGTGACACAGGTGTAGTGTCAGGGTAGAGGGACAGGGAAGTGTGACACAGGTGTAGTGTGAGGGTAGAGGGACAGGGAAGTGTGACACAGGTGTAGTGTGAGGGGTGGAGGGGACGGGGAAGTGTGACAGAGGTGTAGTGTGAGGGTAGAGGGACAGGGAAGTGTGACACAGGTATAGTGTGAGGGTGGAGGGGACGGGGAAGTGTGACACAGGTGTAGTGTGAGGGTAGAGGGACGGGGAAGTGTGACACAGGTGTAGTGTGAGGGTAGAGGGACAGGGAAGTGTGACACAGGTGTAGTGTGAGGGTAGAGGGACAGGGAAGTGTGACACAGGTGTAGTGTGAGGGTGGAGGGACAAGAAAGTGTGACACAGGTGTTGTGTGAGGGTAGAGGGACAGGGAAGTGTGACACAGGTGTAGTGTGAGGGTAGAGGGACGGGGAAGTGTGGCACAGGTGTAGTGTGAGGGAGGAGGGACAAGAAAGTGTGACACAGGTGTAGTGTGAGGGTAGAGGGACAGGGAAGTGTGACACAGGTGTAGTGTGAGGGTAGAGGGACAGGGAAGTGTGGCACAGGTGTAGTGTGAGGGAGGAGGGACAAGAAAGTGTGATACAGGTGTAGTGTGAGGGTAGAGGGACAGGGAAGTGTGACACAGGTGTAGTGTGAGGGTAGAGGGACAGGGAAGTGTGACACAGGTGTAGTGAGAGGGTAGAGGGACAGGGAAGTGTGACACAGGTGTAGTGTGAGGGTAGAGGGACGGGGAAGTGTGACAGGTGTAGTGTGAGGGTAGAGGGACAGGGAAGTGTGACACAGGTGTAGTGTGACTGTAGAGGGGACGGGGAAGTGTGGCACAGGTGTAGTGTGAGGGTAGAGGGACAGGGAAGTGTGACAGAGGTGTAGTGTGAGGGTAGAGGGACAGGGAAGTGTGACACAGGTGTAGTGTGAGGGTGGAGGGGTAGGGAAGTGTGACACAGGTGTAGTGTGAGGGTGGAGGGGTAGGGAAGTGTGACAGAGGTGTAGTGTGAGGGTAGAGGGACAGGGAAGTGTGACACAGGTGTAGTGTGAGGGTGGAGGGGACGGGGAAGTGTGACACAGGTGTAGTGTGAGGGTAGAGGGACAGGGAAGTGTGACACAGGTGTAGTGTGAGGGTAGAGGGACAGGGAAGTGTGACACAGGTGTAGTGTGAGGGTGGAGGGGACGGGGAAGTGTGACACAGGTGTAGTGTGAGGGTAGAGGGACAGGGAAGTGTGACACAGGTGTAGTGTGAGGGTAGAGGGACAGGGAAGTGTGACACAGGTGTAGTGTGAGGGTAGAGGGACAGGGACGTGTGACACAGGTGTAGTGTGAGGGTAGAGGGACAGGGAAGTGTGGCACAGGTGTAGTGTGAGGGAGGAGGGACAAGAAAGTGTGACACAGGTGTAGTGTGAGGGTAGAGGGACAGGGAAGTGTGACACAGGTGTAGTGTGAGGGTAGTGGGACAGGGAAGTGTGGCACAGGTGTAGTGTGAGGGAGGAGGGACAAGAAAGTGTGATACAGGTGTAGTGTGAGGGTAGAGGGACAGGGAAGTGTGACACAGGTGTAGTGTGAGGGTAGAGGGACAGGGAAGTGTGACACAGGTGTAGTGTGAGGGTAGAGGGACGGGGAAGTGTGACAGGTGTAGTGTGAGGGTAGAGGGACAGGGAAGTGTGACACAGGTGTAGTGTGACTGTAGAGGGGACGGGGAAGTGTGGCACAGGTGTAGTGTGAGGGTAGAGGGACAGGGAAGTGTGACACAGGTGTAGTGTGAGGGTAGAGGGACAGGGAAGTGTGACACAGGTGTAGTGTGCCTGGCAGTGTTACCCACCACTGCCTACCTGTGAGAGAGGTCTAGCCACTCATCCCCCGCCACCTAGCCTTGTTGTTGCCGTTGTGTTTATACTTCACTATTGTAACAATCAATATCTTCCAGCTTCCCTTGTGGACGGAGGTGGCTTCCACAACCTGCTTGATGGGGTTCTGGGAGTTCTTCTACTCCCCAAGCCCGGCCCGAGGCCAGGCTCGACTTGTAAGAGTCTGGTCCACCAGGCTGTTGCTTGGAGCGGCCCGCAGGGCCACATACCCACCACAGCCCGGCTGATCCGGAACTTCTTAGAAAACAGTCCAGTTTTCTCTTTAACATGTCCACGGTTGTTCCGGCAATATTTCTTATAGTCGCTGGGAGGACGTTGAACAACCGTGGACCTCTGATGTTTATACAGTGTTCTCTGATTGTGCCTATGGCACCTCTGCTCTTCACTGGTTCTATTCTGCATTTTCTTCCATATCGTTCACTCCAGTACGTTGTTCAACACCATCCCTTAGTGCACCCCACATGGTGACCACCCGTACAGGATACTTCCTTATATTTCTTTTCATTTGCCACTCCAGCTTCCACTTGTGTCCACTTGCCTTACTTTCTCTCACCTTAAAGAGGCTGGCCCTGTCCACATTGTGTATTGAAAGTGTCATTAACACTCCCTGCGCCTCTCCCTCACTCCCTACGCCTCTCCCTCACTCCCCGCGCCTCTCCCTCACTCCCTGCGCCTCTCCCTCACACCCTGCGCCTCTCCCTCACTCCCCGCGCCTCTCCCTCACTCCCCGCGCCTCTCCCTCACTCCCCGCGCCTCTCCCTCACTCCCCGCGCCTCTCCCTCACTCCCCGCGCCTCTCCCTCACTCCCCGCGCCTCTCCCTCACTCCCCGCGCCTCTCCCTCACTCCCCGCGCCTCTCCCTCACTCCCCGCGCCTCTCCCTCACTCCCCGCGCCTCTCCTTCACTCCCCGCGCCTCTCCCTCACTCCCCGCGCCTCTCCTTCACTCCCCGCGCCTCTCCCTCACTCCCCGCGCCTCTCCCTCACTCCCCGCGCCTCTCCCTCACTCCCCGCGCCTCTCCCTCACTCCCCGCGCCTCTCCCTCACTCCCCGCGCCTCTCCCTCACTCCCTGCGCCTGGGGGAGCAACATTGGCAGGGTGGGGGAGCACCACTGGCAGGGTGGGGGGTCCTACACCAACCTCTGGTAAGGTTGGCGTAGGGAGTGATACAGTATCGCCTGGAGGGTGGTGTAGTAGGCTGGTCCTTGGTGTGGGAATATATGAAGTAGGAGGCTTGGGTATTGAACCCAGGTGGTGAGGTGGGGCACAACCTAGTGGGTAGCTCGCTTGGAGGGGGTTGGTGGGGGTCAGCGAGATGCTTTGTAGAGGTAGAGTGAGGTAGGGACAAATCATAACATAGAACGAAAAGGCAATGTAAAGGATCTGGGTGTACTCATGTCGGAAGACCTTACCTCTAAAGAACACAATAAAGTAGCCGTCACAACTGCAAGAAAAATGACAGGTTGGATAACAAGAACTTTTCACACTAGAGATGCTATACCGATGATGATACTTTTCATAACGCTTGTGCTCTCTAGAGTGGAGTACTGCTGCACAATGACAGCAATTTTCAAAGCTGGAGAAATTGCTGACCTGGAGAGCGTGCAGAGATCCTTTACTGCTAGAATCCACTCAGTAAAACATCTAAACTATTGGGACCGACTAAAGAGCCTAAAACTGTACTCCCTCGAGCACAGGCGGGAGAGGTACATAATAATCTATACGTGGAAAATAGTAGAGGGGCTGGTCCCAAACCTGCACACAGAAATAACACCACATGAGACCAGAAGACATGGCAGGATGTGCAGAATACCCCCGTTGAAAAGCAGAGGTGCAACAGGTACTCTGAGAGAACTCTATCAACATCAGAGGCCCGAGACTGTTCAACACGCTTCCACTACACATAAGGGGCATAACTGGCCGACCCCTCACAGTGTTCAAGAGAGAACTGGATAAGCACCTCCAAAGAGGTGCTTATCTGATCAACCAGGCTGTGACTCATACGTCAGGCTGCGAGCAGCCGCGTCCAACAGCCTGGTTGATCAGTCCGGCAACCAGGAGGCCTGGTCGACGACCGGGCCGCGGGGACGCTAAGCCCCGGAAGCACCTCAAGGTAACCTCAAGGCAAGGTAAGGTAGTGTGAACGGTGAGGGGGGGGGGGGGTGAGGTTTGCGAGTACTGGAGAGTAACGTGAATCTCGAAGTTTATAATTGTTGTTAATAGTAGTTGGTTAAAGAAATCGAACCTGCCGGCTGAGTGATGAAGGTGGGTGAAGGTGGTGGTGGGGGGTGTTGGGAGTGGTGGGGGAGGGGGGGGGGGGTAAGTGTGTCCAAGGTGGGTGTTGACAGGTATATATATACCTGGCGCGGTGCAGGTGTGTCACTAGCTGATGGAGCCCCGCGTCACCATGGCTGCTCAGGTAAATGTCTCTGGTGACGCCTGTGATCACCGAAGCCACACCGCCCGCCCCTCGCCTGTGTGGAGACCGGGCCCCACACACATGGTGCCTTCACCACTGTCTTGTTTATCACTGCTCACTGTTCTCCTGAGGGGGGGGGGATTGTGTGGGTATATGTGTGAGATGACTAGTAATGTGCTCGCCCGTGTTCATCTGGCAGTATGGCTGCCTATGTTTTTAATATTCAAATGTGCACAGTTGTGTATGTGTGTACTCACCTAGTTGTGCTTGCGGGGGTTGAGCTCTGGCTTTTTGGTCCCGCCTCTCAACTGTCAATCAACCGCTGTACAGATTCCTGAGCCTACTGGGCTCTATCATATCTACATTTGAAACTGTGTATGGAGTCAGCCTCCACCACATCACTGCCTAATGCATTCCATCCATTAACTACTCTGACGTACGTGTGTGTGTGTGTGTGTGTGTGTGTGTGTGTGTGTGTGTGTGTGTGTGTGTGTTGATCCCCGACTCTCTGGCAGGTACTGCCGACTCTGTTTCCTGTCATATCTACTTTAGAAATAACATGTTGACTACCATTCTACTATATACTCCATGCTACTTATTTACACGTTTTACGCCAGCTGTTCCTTCAACTCTCCCTGTGACTCATTTCCGTCTGAAGCTTCCTCGTTTTATTCTGCCTTATGCTGAATAGTTCAAATTTATTAATCTTATCGATTCCCCCTCAGAATGTTTCATGTCGTTATCATGTCTCCTCAGTTTCGTCTCTCTTCAAGTGTGGTGAGGTTCAGTTCCAGTTGCTGTTCCTCACAGTTCACGTCTCGCAGGTCTGGCGTGAGCCTCGGGGCATGTCTCTCAATCTTTCCTAGTGTGATATTATTAGTCCTTATGTTGGGCTTCCACGCCGGTGCTTCATACTCCAGAATGGGAATTATATACATAGAGTACAGTGCCGTTTGTGCCGCTAATTACCTGCATCCCAGTCCTATTATGGCGCTAATTACCTGCATCCCAGTGCTATTATGCCGCTAATTACCTGCATCCCAGTGCTATTATGCCGCTAATTACCTGCATCCCAGTGCTATTATGGCGCTAATTACCTGCATCCCAGTGCTATTATGGCGCTAATTACCTGCATCCCAGTGCTATTATGCCGCTAATTACCTGCATCCCAGTGCTATTATGGCGCTAATTACCTGCATCCCAGTGCTATTATGCCGCTAATTACCTGCATCCCAGTGCTATTATGGCGCTAATTACCTGCATCCCAGTGCTATTATGGCGCTAATTACCTGCATCCCAGTGCTATTATGCCGCTAATTACCTGCATCCCAGTGCTATTATGGCGCTAATTACCTGCATCCCAGTGCTATTATGCCGCTAATTACCTGCATCCCAGTGCTATTATGGCGCTAATTACCTGCATCCCAGTGCTATTATGGCGCTAATTACCTGCATCCCAGTGCTATTATGCCGCTAATTACCTGCATCCCAGTGCTATTATGGCGCTAATTACCTGCATCCCAGTGCTATTATGGCGCTAATTACCTGCATCCCAGTGCTATTATGGCGCTAATTACCTGCATCCCAGTGCTATTATGCCGCTAATTACCTGCATCCCAGTGCTATTATGCCGCTAATTACCTGCATCCCAGTGCTATTATGCCGCTAATTACCTGCATCCCAGTGCTATTATGGCGCTAATTACCTGCATCCCAGTGCTATTATGGCGCTAATTACCTGCATCCCAGTGCTATTATGCCGCTAATTACCTGCATCCCAGTGCTATTATGGCGCTAATTACCTGCATCCCAGTGCTATTATGGCGCTAATTACCTGCATCCCAGTGCTATTATGGCGCTAATTACCTGCATCCCAGTGCTATTATGCCGCTAATTACCTGCATCCCAGTGCTATTATGGCGCTAATTACCTGCATCCCAGTGCTATTATGGCGCTAATTACCTGATTATCACTGCCACTGTGGTACTAATAGTGGTAATATTTGACTATTTAATCAGTAAACTATGATGGTCGTCAATTGTTGTTATTGACTTTTGTCGACAGTGAGGAACCACTGTAATAAATTGTGAATACAGTTTATTACAATATTACAATTTTATTACAATTTATTACACAATCGACTTGAGAATGGTCCAGGACGGACCGAAACGTCGTCGTCCCTTCACCTTCTAGTGTGTGGTCTGGTAAACAAATTGTGAGTAGGTGTGATAGTTTGTTGAACCGAAGAATGTTGAAGGCCGCTGAGGGACAATGTGTGGTTAAGTCTTTGTGGGAAGTGGAAGCAAAAAATTCTTGGAAGCAGTTTTTATGAAAATTAGAGAATGGAAGTTGAAATTAGCAATACAGTAATGAGTGGGAGGTGTTTAGTGTACAATGAAAGAATGAATAATACTCTGTGAGTTACGAAAGATGTTAGACATAGGTAATAAAGGCATAATGGCACGGGGATGCAGGTAAACAGCGGCACTCTATGAATGTAATTCACATTTTGGAGTATGGAGCACCAGCATGGAAACCCAACATAATGAATGGTGACTGGAATGTGGGTCTGGAGAGTGGGAGTTCTGGAGTACCCAAAGGTGCGACGTGTGACCCACAGCCCACGAGGAGGTACGGACATGTTAGGTTCATGTCTGAGCATTGTTTAACATGGTGTGTGTGTGCAGGGGTGAGACGCAGGGTGTACAGGGGTGAGACGCAGGGTGTAGAGGGGTGAGACGCAGGGTGTACAGGGGTGAGACGCAGGGTGTAGAGGGGTGAGACGCAGGGTGTAGAGGGGTGAGACGCAGGGTGTACAGGGGTGAGACGCAGGGTGTACAGGGGTGAGACGCAGGGTGTAGAGGGGTGAGACGCAGGGTGTAGAGGGGTGAGACGCAGGGTGCACAGGGGTGAGACGCAGGGTGTAGAGGGGTGAGACGCAGGGTGTAGAGGGGTGAGACGCAGGGTGTAGAGGGGTGAGACGCAGGGTGTACAGGGGTAAGACGCAGGGTGTAGAGGGGTGAGACGCAGGGTGTACAGGGGTGAGACGCAGAGTGTAGAGGGGTGAGACGCAGGGTGTAGAGGGGTGAGACGCAGGGTGTACAGGGGTGAGACGCAGGGTGTAGAGGGGTGAGACGCAGGGTGTAGAGGGGTGAGACGCAGAGTGTAGAGGGGTGAGACGCAGGGTGTACAGGGGTGAGACGCAGAGTGTAGAGGGGTGAGACGCAGGGTGTAGAGGGGGGAGACGCAGGGTGTAGAGGAGTGAGACGCAGGGTGTAGAGGGGGGAGACGCAGGGTGTAGAGGGGTGAGACGCAGGGTGTACAGGGGTGAGACGCAGGGTGTAGAGGGGTGAGACGCAGGTGTAGAGGGGTGAGACGCAGGGTGTAGAGGGGGGAGACGCAGGGTGTAGAGGGGTGAGACGCAGGGTGTAGAGGGGTGAGACGCAGGGTGTAGAGGGGTGAGACGCAGGGTGTAGAGGGGTGAGACGCAGAGTGTAGAGGGGTGAGACGCAGGGTGTACAGGGGTGAGACGCAGGGTGTACAGGGGTGAGACGCAGGGTGTACAAGGGAGAGACGTAGGGTGTACAGGGGAGAGACGCAGGGTGTACAGGGGAGAGACGCAGGGTGTACAGGGGAGAGACGCAGGGTGTACAGGGGTGAGACGCAGGGTGTACAGGGGTGAGACGCAGGGTGTACAGGGGTGAGACGCAGGGTGTACAGGGGTGAGACGCAGGGTGTACAGGGGTGAGACGCAGGGTGTACAGGGGAGAGACGCAGGGTGTGGCCACCCCTTGATGTGAAACGTCTGATTTCCAATCAAAGGGCGGCCACACCGTCATGGTCACTATGTTGCCTCCGGCCACACCATCATGGTCACTATGTTGCCTCTAGCCACACCATCATGGTCACTATGTTGCCTCTGGTCACACCATCATGGTCACTATGTTGCCTCTGGCCACACCATCATGGTCACTATGTTGCCTCCGGTCACACCATCATGGTCACTATGTAGCCTCCGGTCACACCATCATGGTCACAATGTTGCCATAGGTATTGGGCATCCAGCCTCAGAAAGACAGACAAACACACACACGCACACACTTTCCATGCACTTCCTCACACTTTCATCATGTCCGCCCTTCTCGGCTTTCCACTTTGTCTCGTGTGTTTAAATTCGCAGTAGTCTGCTGTGTTTACCACTGTCTTCACCACTGAGTTCACCACTCTTCAGTCATCCATTCGTTCAACGTGCTCAAGCTTGTCCATGCTCTCCTCAGCCATGTTGTTAAACGATCGTTGCACTCATCTCTCCATGGCCTGGTCATGGAGAGATGAGTTCTCTACTCCACTCACCTCACACCGTGTATAAATCTTATATTGAAAATTCCTACTTCTCTGCCTCTTAATCAGCCCCGTCCACACCCTCCCCATACTCACCCTGTGAGTGGTTGGTTATTGTGCTCCCCATGCTCACCCTGTGAGTGGTTGGTTATTGTGCTCCCCATACTCACCCTGTGAGTGGTTGGTTATTGTGCTCCCCATACTCATCCTGTGAGTGGTTGGTTATTGTGCTCCCCATACTCATCCTGTGAGTGGTTGGTTATTGTGCTCCCCATACTCATCCTGTGAGTGGTTGGTTATTGTGCTCCCCATACTCATCCTGTGAGCGATATTGCAAAAAGGATTATAGAGGGCACAAAAAATAAGTATTCACACCTCAGCTATCATTCTTACGTTAACAATTTCAGCTAATCTACGCATTTTATAACAATAACAACACTCTCCGCACCCCAAATCTATGACGTTACAATATATTATTTTACATTTTTTTTTGGTTCATGTTTAAATTTATTTGAAATTTACCGGATAATAGACGAGCTGCTGTTTAGTCTGTACACTATACAATCATACATTAATCATACACAGGTCATTAACCAATAAACACCAGAGTGTGGATACAGTGCAAGAATTTCACAAGCCTGCTCATTTGTAATAAGATTTGTCATATCATGCAACATGATTTTAGATTTCCTGTAAATGACAATTTTTTCACAATATAAAAATGTGTCATTGTCTTAGTCCACACACTACACTTTACTTTATCTAGATCCTCATACAAGCCGACTGTTGTGACCTGCCTGTAGCCAAGTCCAAGCGGCTCTACTACTCCCGTTTGCGTTCTTCATGAAATTCTCCCGATTCTTGTCTCATGACATTTTTTAAACGATCAATTTGATAGGCCAAGATGACGGTCAACATTGTCTATACTTAGTGTAAGCTAAGCAAGGGCATCAGTACTTTTATGTTCTTGCTGTTCACAGTGGGAAGGGACCCACAGCATTGTGACTTTTACGCCTTTATTAAGTCTGCATCTTGACATTTGGTTGGCTCAGGAGACAAGGACGTTATACTTTCATTATAAGCAATTCGATTCCAGTGATGAGACGAATGATGTCTACTACGGAGTACTCAATTTGAGTGTTACGACAGTTCAACTTACAAGGTTCATTAGTGACGCTTACATTCTTCTCAATCGCAATCCAGTTCCCACTAAGTGGAGCATTCTAGGCACCGGCCACTGTCCTGCCTTAACTGACCCCTCGCTCACCTGGGAGGGTACAGCTGCCTCCTTTACCATCAACACCTTCCAAGTGTTTACACTCGTGGCAACTTCCGCCACTTTGGACCTATATTTTACACACAATTTCCTTCTTTCTACCACTCCGTGACTTTCCGTCTCTACCCCCACCACAACTTTCCTTCTCTCTCCACGACAACTTTCCTTTACTCTCCCAACCTCAACTTTCCTTTCGTGGACATCCACATTTAAGCCTTACCTCAAACATCTGAAAAACTTCAATAAGTCTAAATAATCTTTCTCCACCCTTTGCAGAAACAGCTTCATCATGTACATACCATGGATATACCCTCCTCCAGTTACCGTGACCTCCCTCAGTACCCTGTCTGTGTGTTCTGTCAGTGGGCAGGACGCCATCACACGCCGCCCTCACCAACATCTCCATCACACCCGTGATTCATTAAACTATCGTCTCCTACACCTGCATTGCTTCCGACATCCCTACTTCTCAGAGTGTTTACCTGCACTCTGGAGAAATGATAACATATGGAGTTGGCAATGTCATTCTCTTAACTGTTCCATGTGTCATGGACACATTTGATATCTCTCTAACATGTCTTGTTAACAAGTTGCCTCAAAGTAAATATGTGATCTACACTGGACCTTCTTTGTTCATCACTGATCAATATATGAACACTTTCCTGCCACACATCTCCCGCTGCGCTAAGTAAACTAATGCTTCCAAAACGCTATGTAACTTTATGTACCTTTGGGCAGTGTTATTTCCCAATGGCTTATGCCTCCACAGTATAGAAAGGCAAGGTATTATTCCCCCCCTTCGAACTTTGGTTTGATCATTGTGTAAGACGCCTTACCGAGGACGTCTTGAGGGTGCCTGAAGGCTGCCAACTCCTTATCTAGAGCTGTGGTACATTGTTTCATAAGTCGGCAGCCTTCAAGACGCCCTTCCTACGCTGTCTGAGACAATGGTCAAAGCAAAGTTTGAGAGGAATAAAAGCAGTTTTCTAATCTTTGGAGCATAAGCAATCGGACATATACACTGCCAAGAGACACAAATCATGTTACATAGTGCAATTATTTCACGCGCTATGTTCCTCTTTATCTTTATTCAGTCCAGGCACTGTTCTTTTCCAGCCCTGTGACGCATTATTGCAAGTCTTCTGGCCAAGTCTTTACACCCATTATATTCACCTTTCCCTCCACAACATTAATCATTTCGACATAGACCTCATCAACACCTGCAGTCTTCCTATATTTCAGCTCCTTCAACGTGCTCACCACTTCCATAGATAAATGAGCAGGGATGTGGTCCTGCATCCTTCTACTCTATCACATCACTTAATGCATTCAGCGTATCCTCTTCTCCTATTTTAATATTCTCCTCACTATTTACCATTCTCCAGTACATATCTTTATGATGTCCACTATACTGCCCAGAAGTCCTTTCCTAAAGAGCTTTAAGTTGTTAACTTTATCTTATTATTTCACATACCTTTAACTCTCTCCATACTCCATTTTCTTGTCTCTCTTTTGCCACCACATCCTACCAAGCAACTAGTCTAACTCTTCTTCTAGTACTTGCAAAAACCTTCATTTAGTCAAGGCATGTGTGTAAGAACGCCACACTCTAGCCGTTCTTAACTAAATATTTCTTGTATTCATCAAATTTGACAATCACAGATTACAACACATTCAGCATTGTTTGCAACACGTCCATCATGGTTTGGTTACAGCATATTCATCACTGTTTACAAGACATTCAGCATTGTTTGCTTGCAATACATTTAGCATTGTTTGGTTACAACATACAACATTGGTGAAAACACATTCAACACTGTTTACATTACATTCAGCATTGATTACAAAATATTCAGCATTTTTACAACACATTCAGCATTGTTTAGTTACAATATTGTCTCTTGGTTTGCATGTTATTGTTTATGGTTTTCCGGGTATGAACAATTGCTATATTTTCATGCGTTGCTTAGGTGAGAGGACTGGAGGTGGTAGTTCACGTCTGGTACCACTGTGTCTGGGCTTCACGTGAGAGGACTGGAGGTGGTAGTTTACGTCTGGTACCACTGTGTCTGGGCTTCACGTGAGAGGACTGGAGGTGGTAGTTCACGTCTGGTACCACTGTGTCTGGGCTTCACGTGAGAGGACTGGAGGTGGTAGTTCACGTCTGGTACCACTGTGTCTGGGCTTCACGTGAGGGGACTGGTGGTGGTAGTTCACGTCTTACCTTATTACGAGCCTCAGCTCCTGGGTTCCTCCTCTCAATCTTCAATGTAGAAGTGCAGTTAATTCCTTACTCCGTGATCTGTATTGTATTACCTTTGAATCTGGGCATGAAACCGTTCTCAGGCACACTTCTTGCCTTCGTCAGTCCACTTTTTCATTACCATATTGGAAGTTCATTCTAATGCCCAGCTTCCTGATTTGGTACTATGCTTCCATTTGGTCCATTACACTTTATTCAGTTTATCTTTGTCTCTCTTCACGAGTATAATCCTCTGTGTCGGGAACATGTCTCCTTCTGTTTCTTCTCCTCTAAAGTGATTTGATGATCATTTCGTTTAGTTTTCTAGTGCAGCTCGTGTATCATTTCTGAGATCAGTTTCGTGGCAAATCTGTGAAGTTTTTTATAGCTTCATTCTGGGCTTACGGAGTAGAAAATTTCATATCAGCGCTACTTGCTGAAAAAAAAGGTCTGACATAGGTGATATACATCGTTCTGAATTACACTATCTCCATTTTCCTGTTGACATCAAAATGCGTTAGTATTTTTTGCTATACACAGTATAAAAAGGACCAAAAATCTAACCCATCTTGCCCGCAGACTTCCCAGCTTATGATAGACGAAGTGATAGTGGCAAACCAGACATATTACCATTGACAATTACAATGACAATACATTGACAATAACCACCACCAGTGGTGGTTATTGTCAATGTGGAGCAGGTCAAGCAGCTGACCTGCTCCAACCCCAACATGGAGAATTCATCATACGCTGATGATGATGTCCCGCAAATAGTATTCCAACCACGACCATCAGAGGTGCTACGAGCCAACGAGACCAAGGCAGCAATTGAATTCATAAACAACTTTGAAAGCAATTGAAAATAAGTACAAAACATTCCAGTAAATACGCATTACAAAAACAAACCCAAACCCAATAATCTTTGACAACCGCCCGATTCAATATACGGATGCTGGAAGAATCCTGAAACTCGAGATTAATGGAATAGGAATTAAAATTCATTTAAAGAACAAAATAAACAAAGCAAAAACAGCCTTAGGAAAACCGAGATTCCGAAGCCTGGGTACAACACACACCTACACCTATACAAGGCTGTAGTCCAGCAGCATCTGGAGTATCCCCCAGTACCACTACACCTTACAGAAAACTATCATGCACACCTACAAGCTGTGTAGAACAAGGCGCTAAGAAGAGCACCAAATCACCGTGCTCTTTTACCACAGGGTAAAAAAATACCCTGAAGGCGAACATGCACACTGGCATCTGTGTATATATGACTGCTTCACAGTATTCATCTATATATATATACATACTGACATTCACGTGAAGAACCTCTCACACACACTCACAGCTCCCTGACAAGAGAGAGCAGGTATGTATCACGTATGACAAGTATGCATGCATGTAAGAGCAAGCTTAGCTGCAAAAAACCACACATTGTATGAGCAAAACGGACAGCCCGCCTGGTGTGAGCGAGGCGGACAACCCGCCTGGTGTGAGCGAGGCGGACAGCCCGCCTGGTGTGAGCGAGGCGGACAGCCCGCCTGGTGTGAGCGAGGCGGACAGCCCGCCTGGTGTGAGCGAGGCGGACAGCCCGCCTGGTGTGAGCGAGGCGGACAACCCGCCTGGTGTGAGCGAGGCGGACTGCCCGCCTGGTGTGAGCGAGGCCGACAGCCTAGACAGCCCGCCTGGTGTCAGCTAGGCCGACAGCCTAGACAGCCCGCCTGCTATCGTAATTCACATTATATCCCATTTCTAAAGTTTCTCTTTACCTGTGCCTCTCCATCTTTTTCAAAATATAATTTTATTTAATATCAAATGCTTATTTATACTATGGGTTTCAGATGTTCATGTATCTTCTGTCCACTGAGTTATGCAGTCACCAGAGCTATACAGTAACCTCAATATGTACCCGATGTTATGTTCCCGAAGGTGCATATTGACCGACAGGTATTGGATCCTTTCATCATTTTAATTGAAAAATCTCTTTCACTCAGGTAATAATATTCTCGTGCCTCATTCTGGTGGCTTCAGCGCTTCCTCAGAACTACCGAGCCAAGCCCCCTGGACACTCGGCGGGCGCTGGCCACCCGGGCTCCGGGGCCTACAACACACAGGCACACATTGAGGGCAAAACAGACTCGAAGTCTGCCAACCAGTATCATTCCGCCGTAGAGTACCAGAACCCTGGGGCAGCTGGAGGCTACCACAACACCCAATCTGCAGGTTACCAAAATGGCGCAGGAGGAGGAGGAGGAGGCTATCAGAGCCCTGCTGCAGGCCACCAATCCCCGGCACCTGTAGCCTATCAAGGCCCTGCATACCAAGGGTATGATCAGGGCTCGGGAGCCGGAGGGTACCAGAGCCTCGAGTCTCCTGGGTATAGAGTAGGCGGAGGTATACTCTTCGGTGGTCTCTCTGCCGACGACCAGAAGAAGATCGCGGCCCACGAGCACGACGGCACCACCTTCCACGGCCCCAGTCAGGTAACTCATCCACCTCATTATTAGTCTAGGGGTTTTATTTTTAAATCTTTGTATAATGCAGCTTTAAAAGTCTATGCGAGCCAGACACACACACACACATATATATATATTATATATATTATATATATATATATATATATATATATATATATATATATATATATATATATATATATATATATATATATATATTAATTGTTTTTCGATTACCTAACCTACCTAACCTAACCTAACTTTTTTGGCTACGTAACCTAACCTAACCTATAGAAATAGGTTAGGTTAGGTAGGGTTGGTTAGGTTCGGTCATATATCTACGTTAATTTTAACTCCAATAAAAAAAATTGACATCATACATAATGAAATGGGTAGTGTTATCATTTCAAAAGAAAAAAATTAGAGAAAATATATTAATTCATGAAAACTTGGCTTATTAGGCAAATCGGGCCTTGCATAGTAGGCTGAGAAGTGCATTCTGGCTACTAGGTACGACATTATATATATATATATATATATATATATATATATATATATATATATATATATATATATATATATATATATATATATATATATAATTTGTTACAATTGTGCTCGCTTCATCTCGGCCTATGAGTGATATTAACCTGATCACCAATCTGGTCTCCCACAGCCACACACGTTCGGTTACACCGTCGAGGACTCTTACTACGGGAACCAGCACGCCCACAACGAGTACTCCGACGGGAAGACGACTAAGGGATCATACCGGGTCCTGCTCCCTGACGGCCGCACGCAAGTTGTCACCTACTCGGCCGACGCAAAGAGCGGCTTCATGGCTCAAGTCTCTTACGAAGGCAAGGCCAAGCCCTACCAACACCAACCCGAGAAGGCCGCCCCTGGACATCAGCAGCCACACGCTTCAAGTCATGCTCCGTCCTACAACCCCCAGCAGCAGGCGCCCGCATACCAGCAAGCACAGTACCGGCCCGCCGCCTAGTGGCGCCCGCTCTACCCTCTGCTCCCACCTGTTGTTGTGTGTTTTGTTATGTTTTAGTGTTTTAGGTGTATGAGAACGGCTTCCGCCCCGTGATTTATGTCACGACAAATTATATGATATAAACAATATTTCGAACTTTAGTCTTTAATTATATTCCTCGGTATGTAAATAAAAATAATTCCAAACCAAATTTAAGAAACGTATTTAGTAATTTCATGAATGCGGATCATCTCATAACCTTTGAGCTCATCTAAAGTTTGTCATACTTCAAATTATTTGTTTGTTAATTTATTTAATATTAAATAAATCGAGGGCGAGAGCAAGAAGATATTGGTAACCCATGATGCTTGCACCTGTAGCCACGTGTCATGTGTTCTCATATTCCCTCGCAGGGGAAAGGACACATAACATGTATTTTGTGAAAGCATAATTTTTTTGTTACTGCCTGAGCAAAAAGTTCAAAATGCACTGGTGCCACAATTGACAACTTAATGTCGAAACCTTAACAAATAGTTCATAGCATTGTTGAAACATTTGGTAAATAATATCACTATCGCTAACTCACTGGGAGGTTTCCAGCATTGGGTTGGAAATGATAATAATTTGATATAGCTAGAATAATATATATATATATATATATATATATATATATATATATATATATATATATATATATATATATTTTACACTGGTATATAAAGGAACAATACGCCTTCTGGCTCCGGTTAGCATGGTGTGACCTTTCCCCTTCCCATAGCACATCTTAAGCCTTACCCAACTAGTTTTCCTGGAACACGAGCCGATAATCGGTTTACAGCCTGGTCCCTAATTACTACTGGGTGAACAGTTAAGGATCAGTGCCAAGTCGACCCTCCCTCTGCAGCCCATACTCTAAACAAAGGCCCAAAGTCCATTCCATGCATCCGCCAAACCCCCTGTTTATGAATGACAAACGGTTAACAGACGACTCACAACTGATGACATCCGAACACTTCCGGAACACTTTTGACGACATTTGTTCGAACTACAACGCTGTAACAACCCGTTCTCGAACTTTCTTTAAGTCAATTTTGACTTATTAAATAAGTGCATATGTGACATACTAATTTATTGTGAATATTTTAGTTTACCTTGAAAAGCTTCATAAAAAAAACACCGACCTTATCTAACCTTCTTAGTATGTTAAGATAAGCATCTTATTGCTTCGTAATTACAATTATTACTTAACCTATTATAGGTATAGGTTAAGTAATAATTTAAATTATGAAGCAATAAAATGCTTAGCTTAACATACTAAGAAGGTTAGGTAAGGTCGGTGTTTTCTATGAAGCTTTTCAAGGTAAACTAAAATATTCACAATAAATTAGTATGTCACATATGAACGTATTTAATAAGTCAATATTGACTATAAGAAAGTGCGAGAACGGGTTGCGCTGTAAATGCTTCACCCACGTACTACAAATACCTACAGATATTTGGCCTAATACAAATCGCCAACAGAACCTAAACAGCTAACCTAACAAGTGCCCAAATATGCTCAATATGTTAATATATAATAATATTAATTTATATTTAAGAAAAGTTTTGAATGTACAGCATGTTAAAATTTATGAATGTTTCTTTGAGATCGACAGCTGCATGGAATGGACGTGTCTGAGGACGGGTTGTCCCCTGCATGGGGCAAATCCAGCCGAAACTGCTAGGGCAGGCCTTCCTCATTAATGAAAGGTCAAATTCTCATTAATACACGGGTTTATACACGGGTTTATACACCACGGATTTATACACCACGGGTTATACACGGGTTTATACACCACGGGTTATACACGGGTTTATACACCACGGATTTATACACCACGGGTTATACACGGGTTTATACACCACGGGTTATACACGGGTTTATACACCACGGGTTATAGACGGGTTTATACACCACGAGTTATTCACGGGTTTATACACCACGGGTTTATGCAACACGGGTTATAAACGGGTTTATGCACCACGGGTTATACATGGGTTTACACACCACGGGTTATACACGGGTTTATACACGGGTTTATACACCACGGGTTATACACGGGTTTATACACCACGGGTTATACACGGATTTATACACCACGGGTTATACACGGGTTTATACACCACGGGTTATACACGGGTTTATACACCACGGGTTATTCACGGGTTTATACACCACGGGTTATACACGGGTTTATACACCACGGGTTATACACGGGTTTACACACCACGGGTTATACACGGGTTTACACATCACAGGTTATACACGGGTTTACACACCACGGGTTATACACGGGTTTATACACCACGGGTTATACTTGGGTTTACACATCACAGGTTTACACACCACGGGTTATACACGGGTTATACACGGGTTTATACACCACGGGAGTAGTGTAAAGTGCGACTAGAGCGACGCGCGCCAGCTGCCAGGTGGCACACAGGTGAGTGCCACCCGGCGGGTGTCTAGTCACACAGGGTTTTGGGGGATTTTTCCCGGAAGTTTGGCGCGTTTCGGACGCGTGTGAGCGTGCCGTGTTTGGGTATGTGGTCAGGAAAGAGAGTAAGTTATGTTGATGGGTGCCAGGTGGTGCGCGTCGTTGCCGTCGTGGCGCAT